GGGTCTACCTTTTCCATAATTTCAGTAACCACTTTCTCTATGGTTGTGTCTATGGATGCGAGGAGTTTCGCAGTGAGGGCTTTCTCGAAAGCTTCAAGGCGTCGTTCGACGAGGTCGAGCATCTTCGCTACATGTGCTTGCAGCCTTTCTTCTACCCGCTTCATTATTCTGGCTTCTGTCTGTTTTAGTATGCTGTCGTGAAGTTCGAGTGTGCTACACTCGGCTGGTAGGCGTTGTTGTACCCTCCGTTGTAGATCTTGGGCTTTATTTTCTAGAGTCCGGATGGTCGCTGTCTGAGCTGGCGAGATGGTCGAGGCACTTGTAGCATTTAGAGAACTGGGCCCGTCACAAGTGGTCACCGCGGCGGCGTAACTGATTCCCCTAACGGAGCGAGACCGTGATGGCGTGCGGGATTCAGAGCGACCTTTTTTCTTAGAGCGAGAGCGACTTCGGTCAAATTTTGGGGGAAAAGAGGGGGCCCCTGAATTTTCTGGTGTGATAACTGACCCGGGTAAATCATTGGTGCAAGCACTCCAGTGATTCTCACGGGCGCGGGCGTTATCGAGCTGGTGGCGTCTTACTTGATAAGGAGGGGGGTTGCTGCGGAGTTTCTTCTTGCATTCCTTTCCAGCAGTCTCATGGTCTTCTCCGCAGATCTTGCACATCGGTTGGCAGTCATGTGGTTCTGTGTCCTTGTCGTAGCCGCATTTGTAGCAGAAGTTCGCTTTCGGCTGAGGGCAGATGTCTTGTCGGTGACCTAGGGCGCCACAGGTTCGGCAATATTGGATGGACTTCCGGTATGGCTTGCATCGGTAGTCTCCACTGAGGTACGTCACGTAAAAAGGAACGTGCTGCCCGTCGAAAGTGATAACTGCAGCTGTGGAAGATCCCAGCATGCGCGCGCCAAGGACGTGGTATCTTGGGTCTACGCGAAGTCCTGCAACAATCTGTGGGGCTTGTTCCTGGTTCGAGGCCGTAGATCACTCCGCGGCACACATCATCGGGGTGTCGAATGTGCGGATTCACTTGATATATTACTCCACCGAGCTGTATAGCATTTATACTTTGCAGTTTGGAAGCTCGTTCAGTACTTGCTGTGCTTGCGATGATCACATTCTCTACTTTTTGCACCTGCACTCCCACATGGTCATAGAAGTCCTGCTGGGCCAAGCCACTGGATCTTCCGATGGCATGTGTAACCTTGATGAGTGTTCGTTTTGAAAGATCTAGTCCTGGTTGCGGGCGGAATACAATTTTGAAGTCATCAGTAGAGAATGGCCGCATCCTAGTGCAGCGTTGACGTTGCGGTTGAGATTCGGCGTCTGGCTTCACAGGTTGCGTAGCTCGTTCTTCGGCTGACTTTTCTTCTTTGGCTGACCTGCCTTTATGGCCAGCTTGAAGCCACTCAATGTGGGCTTTGCCTGTCGTTTTGCCACTATTTTCATCAAACGTCCATTGTGATGCCGTTCTCGAGTTACCCTCCGTGTTGTCCACTTGCATCGCACTCGGGTTTTCTTGACGTGGGTTAGACGTCTGCGTTTCCATGAGAGCTCTACCTCATACGCTGCGTCTCGTGTTGCGCGAGCAGCATGCTCGTAAACCTACGAGACGCTGGCGTCCAGCTCGTTTCGCAGGCCCGTCCACAGCGGCGTTCGCGTGCAGCGCGTCCTCTGAATTCCTTGGCGCGTCCCAGCGAACAGGCACAATATGTTTAGAGTTCAATATCTAGTAAAAAAAGTACACTCACTGCGATGAGTCTGGTGTCAAACGATGCCTTGCAACGTGAGGAATCCCAGGTCACTAAACGCGAGCAGTGTCCAGGCAAGGTTGCACAGAAAATAGCAATAAGAGCAGGAGCCCGTGTGAGGTGCGGCTACACACCTCAGCCCCCTGGCGGCTTTTTTCTTGACCTACTAAACAATTTTTTTTTTCAGTTTATATATGCTGCCCTCCTGAAAAAAGCCAACTTCTGCCATCTGTAGAAAGATTGAGCATTGAAACAGTCTCACTGCCACAATATTCACCACTTAAATGTTGTATAATCTTATTTCCTGTTCTATCAGCTTGCCGATTTGTGTGAGCTGAGAGCCAGAGCACATAACCAATTTCATCTTTGAAACATTCAGCTGCACGACTAAGTGGCAGGACTCCTGAATAATGAGCATTGAAATAAAGTAAAGCATTGACAACAGAAGTTACATGACAAAAATAACCTCCGTAAATAAAGGTGCATTGACAACCTCAGTAATGTTTATAAATATGAAGGTGCGTACATACAAGAGATAAACAGGGACACTAAACCGTGCTTCTGCGCCAATGCTGCTTCCAGAATGCTATCTGTAAAAAAATTCCTCTTTTTTAATTAGGAGAATATTTTGTCACGGGGTCGTGAAGTGGCCGAAGACAGGAGACTTTATGTTGAGATTCAACTGTTTGGGCGAACCTGTGCCCGGTAAAGGGAAAGTCTGATTACAGTAGCAGTCTTGCACAGATAGCAGTGAACGGAGCAAGGCCGTCGATCAACTACTGACGAGCGGCGAAGTGCGTAGGCATTTATACTTCTGCCATCGAATGTTCTAGCGTTATCGCTGGCGGTGACGTAGGTTCCAGAATAATCGTACAGTTCACAGAGTGGGCGTGATCTTATCAAAATGATTTACTACAGTCCTGAAGTTTCTCGAAAACTGCAGGCACGGTTTGCGCTGAGAATCGTGTAGTGTATTGGGGCGATAACAAAACTTGAGAAATGGAACGCGGCATTGCCCCCCTCTGAAAAAGGCATCGTCCGGATGCTTTAACTAAAGATGAAGGTACAACAATTGATTGATATGTGGGGTTTAATGTTTCAAAACCACCATATGATTATGAGAGACGCCGTAGTGGAGGGCTCCGGAAATTTTGACCACCTTGGGTTCTTTAACGTGCACCCAAATCTGAGCACACGGGCCTACAACATTTCCACCTCCATCGGAAATGCAGCCGCCACAGCCGGGATTGGGTCAGCAGCCGAGTACCTTAGCCACTAGACCACCACGGCGGGGCGATGAAGGTACTACAATAATGCAAGAAAGTACACTACATAAATTACGGTACAGCAATAATACAAAAAACACTGTTTCAATTTGTTAACGCGCATGAAACGGCTTGAGGCGCGCGACATGGACGACTTCCGGTCGCGATCGGCGTCGTTGAGAGTTCGTGATGCCGTCGAGGACAACCTCGTAATCAAGTGGGCCGAGACGTCCAACCACCCTGTACGGTCCGAAGTACCGTCGCAGAAGCTTTTCACTGAGTCCACGTCGGCGTATCGGCATCCACACCCATACACGTTCACCGGGCTGGTATTCCACGAAGCGTCGTCGAAGATTGTGACGGCGGCTGTCGGTCGTCTGTGTAATCATGATACGGAAACGCGCGAGTTGTCGGGCTTCTTCGGCGCGTTGAAGGTACTCACTCACATCGACGTTTTCTGGCAATATGTTCTAGAAAGTGCGAGGATGAAGGGACTTTTTAATTGTCGTCATTGAAAATGCATCATGCCGTTCAACAAGTATTTTCTTCCCGTCTGTGCAGGTGCTGTCATCATCATAATCACGCATAACTTATTAGTTTCCCAGCAAATGTTGCTACTGTGTGTGTTTTGTTGAAAATTGGTGAAAGCAGTTGCTTAAGAGATTGCTTATTAAAAAGAGGACCTCATGATGTTTTTTTTCTCCCATTTTCCAGATGAGACATACTCTGTTCATAAAACTGATGCAGCTGTTTCGGACGTAACAAAAGGATGGCTTGTGTTTGATTCAGATCAAGAAGGTGCACCTATGTGAAAAGGCATGTCGCTATGATAGAAGACTTCAAGAGAAGCCCCAGCAACACTTCAGAATCACAAGTCTGCGAAATGGAAACAATGGCATATTGCTTTCTATATATTACGTGTAAAATTCACCTGAAGCATTAAAAATAAAAAACGGTCTTGTTACTTCTCATGGGAGAAGAAGGGGCATGAAAATATAGAAAAAGTAGCCAGGGCATCAAATTGTAGCCAAGAAAAAAAACGAGCCAGAAATTGCATTGGCCGAAACAGTTGGCTCCCATGCCAAGAATATGCTTGGCTATTGCATGGTATTCCAACGCAGTGCCAACCATGGAAAGCGGTGTTTTCCAATGTTTGTCCCAGCACTGCCTTCCCTTCGCTTGGCCAATGGTAGGCTTGTCACACTTCCCTTTGCCTCCAATAATTTTCCAAGCATGGACAGCTGGGCCACTGATGATTTATCATGCTTGGCCCAAGAAAATTTTGCTGGTAGGGAACATGCGGCAATATGATAATTCTTCTTTAAATTTTTCAGTTCAAAGTCAGTGCTTGTCCGGTGTCTGCCTATATCTCTGTCTTTGTATTTCGCGCTGTTTGCCTTGAAAAATGTATCCATTAAGTCTGGACGCAACAAAGCCACAGAACATCTGTAATATCTGTGCACCTGCAGCGGCTAGCATTGCGGAAGGCGCGATTTTTGCCTATGACAAGATGGCAGCGTGTGGCTTCACCCAAGGGGCGCCTTCTCCACTCCAGCAAATTTTACTTAACCTCCTTGGCTGGAACGTACCCCATGAGACTACGTCCCCCAGCTGGCACCAACATTATACCAGTTGAGGTAGAATATAGTGAATCGAATGGAGCTCAGAGTTTTCATTCACATAGCTTGCAGTGCAGTGCCTGCGAGTGCAGTACCCTCCTTTCCCACACTCTCTGAAGCTACTTTTGTGACATCAACGAAGTGAACAAAAACCTTTGTGTAGCTGTTCAGTCTTTGGCACTCAATTACGTGCTCTCCGCGTGGAGGCATCTGTGTGACGTGCAACATTGATTGCTCCACCAGCCCTTTCCCCAAAGCCCGCTTTCGCGTCACTGATTGCATAAAACGATACAAAGACAGAGAAGAAACTAAGGAGACGCAAACATACCCAAAAGACTGGTTGAAAAAAAAATCACGCATATTCACGAATTGACAAAACAAGGTGCCTTTTTAATTTGTTTTGGTTAACAGCTAGTCTTTCATTTTGTTTTTGTTGCCATAGTGTTGCTATATGTTTCAATTTATGGGTGGTTAAATGTCGGTATCTATACAATGTTGTGGCCTTCATTTTAATTTTTATATTAAAAATTTTTGTAAACCATCACAGATGTTCTTCCAGATGTTTTCGCACCTGTGCAGTACGAGTACACTTTCCGCTGGACAATGGTAGGTCCTACGAATCTTCACCCCTAAAAACAGACAGCAAGACAGAGAAATCAGTATACAAAAAGAAATGACAGAAAGGAGTGAAAGAGAAAGCAATAAAAGAAAAAGAATGAACCCGCAGCTACGCATAGTGAGTGTGTTCCAATACTCACTCTAGACAGCTAAATAGGCAGCTAAGTGGACAGCGGCCATCTGAAGTCCCATTGAAATTCTCACGTAGCCAGCAAAATAGACAGCTTCGATAAGACGGCATCGTAGACAAATACTATAGTGATACAAATACGATGCAGGCTACTTTGCCATCAAAACAAGATGGCGGCTCAGTGAATGGCTCGGATAGCATGAATCTCGCCGTAGTATTAGTCTGCACACAAACGCTTTCCCAGACACTCAATGTGAGGAACATTAAGTTTTTCTTATTTGTTAACACGAAATAAGCTAAAAAGGTAACAGTTACGTTTATCTTAGCTTTCTGTTCCCGACGCGAGGTGGCGCTTTGTCACGTAGAAGCCATCCTGACGCTTTTACATTTCTTGGGCAACATGGGCTGAATGCCGTTTTCAAAACTGTCAGCGTAGACTGTTTGCGATGCTGTATAGGATTGGAACACAGCCAGTATAGTACAGCAAGGAAATTAGAAAGGAAAGTGAAAATGAGGAGGAGAAAAAGTAGGAAAAGGGTAGAGCATAGCACACGCATGTATGGTATAGTATAGATAGGGCACTATTAGAACGTCAGAATTAGACCTAATGGCATGCAGAAGAGGTCATCACGCAGAAGGTGTGATACTGTTATCAGAGTGCGACATCATTATTACAGTGATAGTTATCTTAATCCAAAGCAAAAGAAAACGACTGCAAGCAAAGCACTGCACGACAGTACACGATAGCAAGTAATGGTACGTAATACTGCTCAACAATGCGCAACATAAATACGCATGCAGCCATGGAGAACTGCAGGGTCGTATGAATATATAAAGTGTTCTTTTTTTTTGTAGACAATACAAACTTTTTAAAAATTATACAACAATCAGGATCCGGCCGTTTTGGCACATGAACTGTATGTCGAGGTAGAAATACTTGCAAGCAGATAGTACGACACTGACGAGACAAACAAAAGCATGCTAATGAGCTAAATATTGACTGGGTATTTGTGAATAATTTATGACACACCCACTTTGTAGAAATCGCATATGTTGCACATAGTTCTACATTCATACCTCACTTTCCTGGGCGACCTCTATACTGACTGAATCGAGAGCACATAAAGGGCGGCACTATCACAGGAACAATCGACCTATGACAAGGAAGTGATGGAATTTCAAAATTTCAATGAAAGCACACCGAAGAAGACTGATATGCGAGGTTTAATACCCCAAAACCACCATACGATTATGAGAGACGCGGTAGTGGAGGGCTCCGGGAATTTCGACGGCCAGGGGTTCTTTAATGTGCACCCAAATCTGAGCACACAGGCCCACAGCATTTCCACCTCCACCGAAGAAGAATCTGATTGGCAGTCACTCTAAAAGAAAAAAAAGTAGACACCTTGCCCACAAGTTTGCGTCCTTGTCTAGTTTTTAAACTATAAAGAGGCATGACAACCTATTTCACGTGTCCGTGAGAAGACGCACCAAAGCAGCTGCCCATCAGCTTCTTGCTTCCCAGGCAACGAAGACTATAATATTGCAGGTTTCTGGTGTATAATTAAATAGAGACGCTGACAACCCCCAAACACTACATGCAAAAGTAAGACGACACATAGGCACAAATGAGATGACTTGCAGCTTTTCAGGAGAACATGCGGCCGTGGCGTGTTCTCAATCAAATTTCGTCACTCCCTTGTCACGGGTTATTGTTCCAGTTTCACGCCACAGAAGGTAGAACAGATGACAGTTGAGCTTGTTAATTCATTATCCTAAGTGTTGATCTGCACAAACAAGACACAAACTAAAAAAAAGAGACAAAGACACAAAACGCAGAGCTTGTCTGTGCTCTGTGAGTCTACACCCAAGTCTCAGTCCCCGTTTTGGTTGTGCGAGCGATCAGTTTCCATTTCAACTTTGAAATTCGCTGACAAATGTCCTAAATAGACCTCTACCGGGGTACGTCATAGCGTGACGTCACCAATGCACGTACAAAGTGTTGGTTGGCAAAACACTTCCGCCGGTGGCCGAGTGGGGTGCAGTCGCTCGGGGCTTGGAGGAGGTGATGTCTAAACGTGTTCCAATTTTCGGAAGGCAGTGACTGCTACGACTAGAGGTGTGCGCCGAGGGGTCGGCGTGCCGCCGCCAACAATTTCTGCTGCGTCGCCGCCACAAACCGATCGCCGCCCCCGCCGACTTGTTTAGTCAGCGCGCCATTGAAATAAGTTTTTTTTTTTTAGCTTGCCTACGTTGATTTTGCACCTTCTGGCACCAGTCTGGCTTTAATTCTGTCCACTTCGCAAAAGCATCAAAATTGGTTCACCTACAATTTCAAGTTAAATAGGTGGACTATAAAAAAAAGCCTTGTCGAGTGCCCTTAATAATGCCAGTTAAAAAACAATGTGCGATCCGTTGCGTCGCGTTGTCATCAATGGGCGAACGCGTATTAGCAGAGTTTAGTTTCGGCCGCCTTATTGGGGAGGGCGCCGACACTCCAACCGTTAAGGCGGATAGCAGTTCGTGTTTCAATGTGGTTGCGTGAGAATTTCTGCATGTCTGTGTGCTTTTTAGAGTGCTTTCTTATGTTTTTTTTTGTGTGCGATTGTTTGTGGAGGGCAGTTTGCTTCATGTTTCCTGTGATCGAGTACAATTCCGTGGCGCGCGTGCTTGGCAGTCTGTTCTTTGAGAAGAAATCGAGAAGAAATCGAAGAAATCGAGACATCACAGTGGGGCCTCTTTTGGAGCGGCCGTTTTCGCAGACGAACCAGCGAGACAAGACCCTTTCCCCAGGCTGCCGCCCTGGTACATGCTACGTGTAGTACAAATACTTGGAATGTTCGCGAAACCAGGAAATATCCAAGCTAGAGGTATCGAAGGGTAGGACGGGTAACGAAGATCAGGCAAGAAGAAGTTGTGATGGTTGAGCAGTGTGAGTGAGTCGTGTAGATCAGTCAGTCGATGTTGAAGAATCTAGTTATGACGATGCTGAATTACTATGTTGAGTGTCGCCAAGACAACGACCAGCACTGGAGTTTGTTTCAGTGTTTGCTTGAGGAGATTTATGTGTGCTTTCATGGTGCGTTTAAGTGGGCCGATATGTCAGCCCTTAGAATCTGCCCAGGATTGCCTCCTTATAAACGGAATCAGTGACCCTTTTCATTTTAGGCGAGTCAAAAGGGCAGCATTGATGAGGAGTATTGAGGCCTATATTCCACGAATGATTGGCCCTCCAAGGGCAAACTGTTCACATATTTGGTGTGACAGGTATATATACTGCTAATAACGATTAGGAATCGAACCTGTGATGTGCAGCTATGAAACGGGTTATTAACGGCCTACTGCGCCACGGAGAAATGCGTGCGAAAACATTTATCTTGGGAGAAGTGGTGGCACCAGTGCAGGCGCAAGGTGAACTAGGCCCGTCCAACCGCTTCGATGGCACACACCAGGCCGCGCCTTGGTTTCTAATCTAGCGGCCGTGGACCAGGGCTACCATCCTCCAGAGTACTAGCACTTCATATCAGCTTATTGCTTCTGCTGTTGCTAAAGAGACTTATGTTCCTATTGGCATTGTTGCACAAATCCAAACAGCTTTATATAAACATCTGCAACTCTTCAACATATGTCTATGCACGTAACATTTGTACATATACTCAGCATTCTTTCCTAACATGTCGCTCAATAAAAAAATTACATCTTACCCACGCACGCTTTTTGTCTACAGCAGCAACTCTCTCTGCATTTTACCACTGTACCTGTTCTAAGAAGTCCAACATGTTGCGCTGAAAGTCCTGAAAATCTTGCGCCATCTTTTTGCTGGTCTTCATCAGAGCCTTCACTTCAGCTTCCAAATGTTCCTTTATTTTCTAAAAAAAAAAAGGTATTTCAATTAGATAAATTATGGCTTTGTTAAGGGAAGAGGACAGAAGTTCTTTGGGACAACAGTGAATTGTTTTCTTTTCATAGTTGAATGAGCGCAAAAAGATTAGGTGCAAGTCCTTGATTCTTACATACAGTCAAGGAACCTTTTGCGATCAACAGAATACTTTCTGGTACTGTAGAAAATTCTAAGAATTCATTATTTAAAAATAAAATCAACACTAAGCAGTACTGTAGTGGTGAGAAAAACCACAATCATGTTTTAACACAATCTTGGAGGGCAGCAATCCACTTGAATAAAAAGAAGTCCATTCCCAGATTCTTGAATGCGTGGCCATTAACGATAGCTGTTGAGGAATGGTTGCCACGATGGAGCAACTTAAAAAAAATGAGAGCAAAACTGTGTACTCAAGAAAACAAAACGGCTCACCTGAAGCTCATCAAGGCCCTTGACCTTGTCTTCTACAGACAATTTGCCAGCCATCAAAGGAACTGGAGAAAAAGAAAACATTTTCAGCCAGTTCCATGCTGAGAAAAACAGTGTTAATCACATGACTGTGTGTGTGATTGGCTAAATCATTACTCTGGCAATATTTATTAAGCATCACTATCACGCTGAGTATTAAATATTTTTGAGTCCTCAGCGACATATTGAGAATAATTATCCCACTCAGGTATCAGAAATCTTAAGCATTAACGGTGTACATTCGAAAGCATTGTATACATTTTCCTTTTACGTTACATACACTTTTTCGGTGTAGTTTGATGACCTGTGGGGCCATTCTTCGTTTTAAAGTTCCTGACCTAGCAGACTTCAACACAGTTTCGTAGTAAATCTAGAATGGTATGACAAACATTACAACACTCAAAAAGTTCTGCTAAAACATTGACCACTTAAATCTGTATACGTGCTCGCTATGGTTACAAGATTATACCTTCTCAGTTAGACAAAACAAACATTAAACAAGCTTATATCAGTGGTTATTGACGAAAACAATCTCGAAGTTTTCATGTATTTAGACAGGGACCTTCTCGCTAATGATCACTTTTCAGCGTACAGAGCCAAGAACAGTGAAAGCATTTTGAAAGAAGCGTCGAGATGCCTTTCATATTTCGATGTCTAAGCGCGGAGCCCGAAATTCAAAGCAAATACAAGCACTATTCAGAAACAACTAAGCTTGAACAAAACATACAGTGATGAAAAACGAACATGCAACGGCAGCTGCCTACTTGACACATTTCCACATTTCGGCCCCAAAGCAAGTCTCCAATTATTACGTGCACCAATGCTGCGCATGGTGCCAAGAGCCAGGAACTCGAGAATGAAGAATGGGACCACAGTTTTTCACAGTGCACCCAACAGTGCTTCTACAGGGGAAAGTGTCTCAACGCTTTGACATCAAAATGTGGGTGTCCTGTCGACACTGCTTTGAAGATGCCTTCCATAAAAGCTTTCGTGACTGCGCCTCTCCCCATCGATGGTATGTTGTCTATATTTACAACTTCAATGTTTGCCCCGTTCCGAGCGCTTGTGGACACCTTACATTACCTAACCCATAAAAAGATAAGTATTTCATCAGGTTCGCTTATGTGTTTCTCTTTTTCATCACGTAGAGATCCTAAAGTGCCTTTCTGGACACGCAGGTGAGCGTGCGTATTTTTAATGATGCCGTCGACGTCACGTGTGACCACTTCACGAAAACGGTGAATTTCGGAGGATTCTCGTGCATCTGGGCTGGAATCTTCAAAGGATAACACCAGCACAGGCTCGAAGACAGCATTGACGCTTCTGAGTTAAGCACGGACGGAGAGAGTTGGTCAAACCGCCCCAGAACATCAGCGGTCGTCCGCCAGTGAGTTTACCTTCGTGCTCGGGCTGCATTATGGCCGGCGCACGTTGGTGTTAATCAATTCGATAAGTTCTAAAGGTAAGGGCTCCTATCTGCAGGGTGTCTACATCTTTCGGGCGGGCTCACTTGCCAGCGGCAGTGCAGAGAAGTGCAGTTACACGCTGTGGAGGAGACTGAACTTTGAAACTGCCCTTTTTGCGAGAGCTCTCAACTTTGTCTTTTTTTTTTTTACTGCTAAAGTTATCGGGGTGAACAGAAAACAAATGTTTTCTGTGGAATATCTGAAGCAAACTTGTCTTTTATCGCATCGCAAAACCGCTTTGCACGGTGGCACGAAAGACAACACATGTAATGTTATTCTATATACGCAAAATATTTGCATTTACAGTGCTTATATTTACAGGATAATTGTGCATGTTCCTTGTGATAAAATGTGTATTTCGATTTTTTTCTTACGCTGTTCAGAGCAGTATTGTTAGCCTTATGAAATTTCTTTGTTCATGTTACACTTTTCTTTTGATCATTTTTTGTACTATTGTTAATAAAGTTGTAGTTTCAAACTGACTTTGTTTAAAAAATAACTCCTCAGTGTACAATTTATTACTATAAACATTCACATAAAAAGCTTTGGGTGCCATAAAAATGACATTCGACAACCTATAAACGGCGAAATTTCTAGTAGTCATGACAGTGCTGATGTGATGTTAACACCTGTCTCGTCTCTTTGCTCAACAATTGTCTCTTCATATTTCGCATTACCTCCTCAAGAATGAACCCAACGCTGAATGCTGAAGATTGCATATATGCATATAACACGAAAAGCAATACTTGATGTGCAAACTTTGAAGTCAACAAATACACCATTATTCCAAGTCAGTTTGCTAACACTTGTACTTGCCTTCCTTCGATCGCCAGTTCCAGAGTCCTTAATGATGAACAGTGACTGCCATGCCACTACATAACCATGTTACTGTGTGAAATAAAGCCCTTATGTTGTTATTTCCTAGGGTATTCTCCTCAAATGTCTACAAACTCTTGCCATGGAACACAACAACGAACAAGATGGCGGCTCAGTTAATCGCTCGATAAATTAAATCTCGCCAGAAATGCCGTCTGAACACAAGCCGGCACTTGTCCAGACGCTCAATGTGAGTAAAGTTTATTTTTTTTATATTTTAACACGAAATATCATAAAAATCAAAACTGTTACGTTTGATTTTTTTTTAGCCTGTTTTTCTCGACGAGAGGTGGCGCATCGTCGCGTAAAAGTGTTCTAAACCAACGCCTCCTCTAGAAAGATGCCTGAGAAATCGCTCGCGCTCTCAGCGGAGTTGGCCTGCCTTCAGTTTTGAACAATCTCCGCACAGTGACGCTGGCGACCAACACTATCATCACGGGTCGGCCAGAACCAGTTAAGCGTTTTTCATCTGCGGCCCATAGGGGCGCGTAAGTCGAGAGTTGTTTGAGACCTGAAACTTGGCACCACTATTTGAGAGGTTATGCAGAGTGTTGCGTTGTTGCACCGTCCACCAAAAGTGACGATAGCAACCGAGAACATTTTAAAATAAAGGAGGGAAAGGGGTGGCAGCTGTTTTTTTTCTCATGCGGCAGGCATCTTCCCAGATGAGGTGATGTCTAAACGTGTTCCAATTTTCGGAAGGCAGTGACTGCTACGTCTAGAGGTGTGCGCCGAGGGGTCGGCGCGCCGCAACCAACAATTTCTGCTGCATCGCCGCCACAAACCGATCGCCGCCCCCGCCGACTTGTTTAGTCAGCGCGCCATTGAAATAAATTTTTTTTTTTTGGCTTGCCTACGTTGATTTTGCACCTTCTGTCACCAGTCTGGCTTTAATTTTGTCCACTTCGCAAATGCATCAAAATTGGTTCACCTGCAATTTCAAGTTAAATATGTGGACTATAAAAAAAAAGCCTTGTCGAGTGCCCTTAATATTGCCAGTTAAAAAACAAAGTGCGATCCGTTGCGTCGCGTTGTCATCAATGGGCAAACGCGTATTAGCAGAGTTGAGTTTCGGCCGCCTTATTGGGGAGGGCGCCGACACTCCAACCGTTAAGGCGGATGGCAGTTCGTGTTTCAATGTGGTTGCGTGAGGATTTCTGCATGTCTGTGTGCTTTTTAGAGTGCTTTCTTATGTTTTTTCTTGTGTGCGATTGTTTGTGGAGGGCAGTTTGCTTCATATTTCCTGTGATCGAGTACAATTCCATGGCGCGCGTGCTTGGCAGTCTGTTCTTTAGTGTAGCGACACCGCGAAGCTGTTGTGTGCCGCTGAGCAGCTTGAACGCGGAAAAAAGACGCGACATTGAAGCACAATGTATTTTCCTGCGATCTACACTTTCAAGAAGCGCATATTATTCGTAACAAAGCACTTATTTTTGTCACAAACCAGCACTGAAGCAGACGCGTGCCGCTGCCTCCAGGCGAGATCAAGCCACCCTGCCAAATGTTCCTTTCAAGGGTGCGCACTACAAAACAATAAAACTAGCATGAAGAGGCACTTAGGGCGTGCTCTTACCCTCAACACACTCGACAGCCAACCAGCACAGATGAGAAGAAATCGAGACATCACAGTGGGGCCTCTTTTGGAGCGGCCGTTTTCGCAGACGAACCAGCGAGACAAGACCCTTTCCCCAGGCTGCCGCCCTGGTACATGCTACGTGTAGTACAAATACTTGGAATGTTCGCAAAACCAGGAAATATCCAAACTAGAGGTGTCGAAGGGTGGGACGGGTGACGAAGATCAGGCAAGAAGAAGTTGTGATGTGTGAGCAGTGTGAGTGAGTCGTATAGATCAGTCAGTCGATGTTGAAGAATCTAGTTATGACGATGCTGAACTACTAGGTTGAGTGTCGCCAGGACAACGACCAGCACTGGAGTTTGTTTCAGTGTTTGCTTGAAGAGAATTATGTGTGCTTTCAGGGTGCGTTTAAGTGGGCCGATATGTCAGCCCTTAGAATCTGCCCGGAGATTGCCTCCTTATAAACGGAATCAGTGACCCTTTTAATTTTAGGCGAGTCAAAAGGGCAGCATTGATGAGGAGTATTGAGGCCTATATTCCACGAATGATTGGCCCTCTAAGGGCAAACTGATCACATATTTGGTGTGACAGGTATATATACTGCTAATAACGATTAGGAATCGAACCTGTGATGTGCAGCTATGAAACGGGTTATTAACGGCCTACTGCGCCACGGAGAAATGCGTGCGAAAACATTTATCTTGGGAGAAGTGGTGGCACCAGTGCAGGCGCAAGGTGAACTAGGCCTGTCCTACAGCTTCGATGGCACACAACAGGCCGCACCTTGGTCTCTAATCCAGCATCCGTGGTCAAGGGCTACCATCCTCTAGAGTACTAGCACTTCATATCAGCTTATTGCTTCTGCTGTTGCTAAAGAGACTTATGTTCCTATTGGCATTGTTGCACAAATGCAAACAGCTTTATATAAAGATCTGCAACTCTTCAACATATGTCTAGGCACGTAACATTTGTACATATACTCAGCATTCTTTCCTAACATGTCGCTCAATAAAAATATTACATCTTACCCATGCACGCTTTTTGTCCACAGCAGCAACTCCCTCTGCATTTTCACGCTATAGCTGTTCTAAGAAGTCCAATATTTTGCGCTGAAAGTCCTGAAAATGCTGCGCCATCTTTTCGTTGGCCTCCATCAGCGCCTTCACTTCAGCTTCCAAATGTTTCTTTATTTTCTAAAAAAAAAAGGTATTTCAATTAGATAAATTATGGCTTTTGTTAAGGGAAGGGGACAGAAGTTCTTCGGGACAACAGTGAATTGTTTTCTTTTCATAGTTGAATGAGCGCAAAAAGATTAGGTGCGAGTGCTTGATTCTTACATACAGTCAAGGAACCTTTTGCGATCAACAGAATACTTTCAGGTACTGTAGAAAATTCTGAGAATTCATTATTTAAAAAAAAAAAAATCAACACTAAGCAGTACTTTAGTAGTGAGAAAAACCACAATCATGTTTTAACACAATCTTGGAGGGCAGCAATCCACTTGATTAAAAAGAAGTCCATTCCCAGATTCTTGAATGCATGGCCATTAATGATAGCTGGTGAGGAATGGTTGCCACGATAGAGCAACTTAAAAAAAATGAGAGCAAAACTGTGTACTCAAGAAAACAAAACAGCTCACCTGAAGCTCATCAAGGCCTTTGACCTTGTCTACTACAGACACTTTGTCAGCCATCAAAGGAACTGGAGAAAAAGAAAAAAATTTTTCAGCCAGTTCCATGCTGAGAAAAACAAAGTGTTAATCACATGACTGTGTGTGTGATTGGCTAAATTATTACTCTGGCAATATTTATTAAGCATCACTATCATGCTGAGTATTAAATATTTTTGAGTCCTCATCGACACATTGAGAATAATTATCCTACTCAGGTATCAGAAATCTTACTCAAGCATTAACGGTGTACATTCGAAAGCATTGTATACATTTTCCTTTTACGTTACATACACTTTTTGGGTGCAGTTTGGTGACCTGTGGGGCCATTCTTTGTTTTAAGGTTCCTGACCTAGCAGACTTCAACAAAGTTTCGTAGTAAATCTAGAATGGTATGACAAATATTACAACACTCAAAAAGTTCTGCTCAAACATTAATCACTTATATCTGTATACGTGCTCGCTACGGTTACAAGATTATACCTTCTCAGTTAGACAAAACAAACTTTAAGCAAGCTTATATCAGTTGTTATTGACGAAAACAATCTCGAAGTTTTCATGTATTTAGACAGGGACCTCCTGGCTAATAATCACTTTTCAGCGTACAGAGCCAAGAACAGTGAAAGCATTTTGAAAGAAGCGTCGAGATGCCTTTAATATTTTGATGTCTAAGCGTGGAGACCGAAATTCAAAGCAAATACAAGCACTATTCAGAAACAACTAAGCTTGAACAGGACATACAGTGATGAAAAACGAACATGCAACGGCAGCTGCCTACTTGACACATTTCCACTTTTCGGCCCCAAAGCAAGTCTCCAATTATTACGTGCACCAATGCTGCGCATGGTGCCAAGAGCCAGGAACTCGAGAGTGAAGAATGGGACCACAGTTTTTCACAGTGCACCCAACAGTGCTTCTACAGGGGAAAGTGTCTCAACGCTTTGACATCAAAATGTGGGTGTCCTGTCGACACTGCTTTGAAGATGCCTTCCATAAAAGCTTTCGTGACTGCGCCTCTCCCCATCGATGGTATGTTGTCTATATTTACAACTTATTGTTTGCCCCATTATGAGCGCTTGTGGACACCTTACATTACCTAACCCGTAAAAAGATAAGTATTTCATCAGGTTCGCTTATGTGTTTCTCTTTTTCATCACGTAGAGATCCTAAAGTGCCTTTCTGGACACGCAGGTGAGCGTGCGTATTTTTAATGATGCCGTCGACGTCACGTGTGACCACTTCACGAAAACGGTGAATTTCGGAGGATTCTCGTGCATCTGGGCTGGAATCTTCAAAGGATAACACCAGCACAGGCTCGGAAGACAGCATTGACGCTTCTGAGTTAAGCACGGACGGAGAGAGTTGGTCAAACCGCCCCAGAACATCAGCGGTCGTCCGCCAGTGAGTTTACCTTCGTGCTCGGGCTGCATTATGGCCGGCGCACGTTGGTGTTAATCAATTCGATAAGTTCTAAAGGTAAGGGCTCCTATCTGCAGGGTGTCTACATCTTTCGGGCGGGCTCACTTGCCAGCGGCAGTGCAGAGAAGTGCAGTTACACGCTGTGGAGGAGACTGAACTTTGAAACTGCCCTTTTTGCGAGAGCTCTCAACTTGTCTTTTTTTTTTTTACTGCTAAAGTTATCGGGGTGAACAGAAAACAAATGTTTTCTGTGGAATATCTGAAGCAAACTTGTCTTTTATCGCATCGCGAAACTGCTTTGCACGGTGGCACGAAAGACAACACATGTAATGTTATTCTATATACGCAAAATATTTGCATTTACAGTGCTCATATTTACAGGATAATTGTGCATGTTCCTTGTGATAAAATGTGTATTTCGATTTTTTTCTTACGCTGTTCAGAGCAGTGTTGATAGTCTTATGAAATTTCTTTGTTCATGTTACACTTTTTTTTCGTTTGATCATTCTTTGTACTATTGTTAATAAAGTTGTAGTTTCAAACTGACTTTGTTTAAAAAATAACTCCTTAGTGTACAATTTATTACTATAAACATTAACATGAGAAACTTTGGGTGCCATAAAAATGACATTTGACAACCTATAAACGGCGAAATCTCTCGTGGTCATAACAGTGCTAATGTGATGTTAACACCTGTCTCGTCTCTTTGCTCATCAAATGTCTCTTGATATTTCGCATTACCTCCTCAAGAATGAACCCAACACTGAATGCTGAAGATTGCATATATGCATATAACACGAAAAGCAATACTTGATGTGCAAACTTTGAAGTCAACAAATACACCTTTATTTCAAGTCAGTTAACTAACACTTGTACTTGCCTTCCTTCAGTCGCCAGTTCCAGAGTCCTTAATGATGAACAGTGACTGCCATGCCACTACATAACCATGTTACTGTGTCAAATGAAGCCCTTATGTTGTTATTTCCTAGGGTATTCTCCTCAAATGTCTACAAACTCTTGCCATGGAACACAACAACGGAAAAGATGGCGGCTCAGCGAATCGCTCGATCACGTGCGCTCGATAAATGAAATCTCGCCAGAAATGCCGTCTGCACACAAGCCGGCACTTGTCCCGACACTCAATGTGAGTAATGTTTTTTTTTTTTTAACATGAAATATTATAGAAATCACAACTGTTACGTTTCATTTTTTAGCTTGTTTTATCGACGCGAGGTGGCGCATTGTCGCGTAAAAGTGTTTTAATCCAACGCCTCCTCTAGAAAGATGCCTGAGGAATGGCTCGCGCTCCCAGCGGAGTTGGCCTGCCTTCAGTTTTAAACAAGCTCCGCGCGGTGACGCTCGCGACCAACACTATCATCACGGGTCGGCCAGTACCAGTTAAGCGTTTTTCATCTGCGGCCCATAGGGGCGCGTCAGTCGAGAGCTGTTTGAGACCTGAAATTGTGCACCACTATTTCAGAGGCTATGCAAAGTGTTGCGTTGTTGCTACGTCCACCACAAGTAACGATAGCGACCGAGAACATTTTATAATAAATGAGGGAAAGGAGTGGCAGCTGTTTTTTTTTTATGCGGCACGCATATTGCTAGAGGAGGTGATGTCTAAACGTGTTGTAATTTTCGGAAGGCAGTGACTGCTTCGACTAGAGGCTTGCGCCGAAGGGTCGGCCCGTCGCCGCCAAATATTTCTGCTGCGTCGCCGCCGCAAACCGATTGGCGCACCGTCGCCGCCGACTTGTTTAGTCAGCACGCCATTGAAATAAGTTTTTTTTTTTTAGCTTGCCTACGTTGATTTTGCACCTTCTGTCACCAGTCTGGCTTTAATTCTGTCCACTTCGCAAATGCATCAAAATCTTTTCACCTGCCATTTCAAGTTAAATAGGTGGACTATAAAAAAAGCCTTGTCGAGTGCTCTTAATAATGTTGGATTATATTTAAACGTGAATTTTAAAACACTTGCCCCGCCGTGGTGGTCTAGTGGCTAAGGTACTCGGCTGCTGACCCGCAGGTCGCGGGTTCAAATCCCGGCTGCGGCGGCTGCATTTCCGATGGAGGCGGAAATGTTGTAGGCCCGTGTGCTCAGATTTGGGTGCACGTGAAAGAACCCCAGGTGGTCTAAATTTCCGGAGCCCTCCACTACGGCGTCTCTCATAATCATATAGTGGTTTTGGGACGTTAAACCCCACATATCAATCAATCAGATTTGGGTGCACGTTAAAGAACCCCACGTGGTCGAAATTTCCGGGGTCCTCCGCTACGGCGTCTCTCATAATCATATGGTGGTTTTGGGACGTTAAACCCTACAAATTAGTCAATCAATTTTAAAATACTTTTGTGTTCATTATATTTCAGTGAATCCCGTTCAGTGACATCGCCAATGGTGGTGTTTGGCGATGACTGTCGAAATATTCTAGGTGACGAGACTATGTAATATGTGAGGTGGCCTTTGAAGAATGATGAAGGGTGGGAAAGTCGGTACTGGGATATTCATAATTATGATTTGATTGATTTGTGGCGTTTAACGTCCCAAAACCACCATATGATTATGAGAGACGCCGTAGTGGAGGGCTCCGGAAATTTCAACCACCTGGGGTTCTTTAACGTGTGCCCGAATCTGAGCACACGGGCCTACAACATTTCCGCCTCCATCGGAATTCATAATTATGACTGTGCAAGCGAGTCGAAGAACAGAGGCAGTTCAAATGCAAAGGGTGGGGGCCAGAACTGCGAACGCGCAATGTAGAAGCGCGATGTGTATTAAAGATATTGTTATAACTGAGGGAGGACTAGCTGTTTAGGGCATATTTACAAAAAAATCAGTAAAGAAACTGGACTACATGCATGGCCGTTAATGAATAAAGAGCGGAAAATGAAAGTTATTATAAGAAATACTCCATAAAACAGAAACGATCCCACTGTATCGGCAGGTTGAGCAAGACCAACAATATTGAATGAAATGGTGATCACCATAAATTAAGTTTGTGTAAACTGTGAAGCCCCGCCGCGGTGGTCTAGTGGCTAAGGTACTCGGCTATAGTGACCCGCAGGTCACGGGTTCGAATACCGGCTGCGGCGGCTGCATTTCCGATGGAGGCGGAAATGTTGTATGCCCGTGTGCGCAGATTTGGGTGCACTTTAAAGAACCCCAGGTGGTCGAAATTTCCGGAGCCCTCATCAATCAATCAAACTGTGAAGTAACCCACGGAAGATGAATGTGAACAAAACACTGAAGCGTGGGCCTGTATTTTCAACGTGCTTTGTCATGCACACCGTGCGGTGCTCCACGCTGCGCTATCAAATCAAGTAATCTGCGTGTCCTTCAGTTATTATCTCGGACCTAAATCAACTAACTATAGATGCCGATTTGTAACAACCGTGTTTCAAAAAGGACACCACATACGTAGGTTGCTCGGTGAGTTGGTTTAGAATAGTTTGGGGGGAACAAACTAAGGAGCTCCAGCTGACAGGGCATCAAGTGAAATGTTTATAACAAAAGGTCTACAAACCCATGTACCAGGAGCGCATTCAAGAAAAATAGGCTGAGGCATTCCACAGCTGCACACCTAACACTAAAAAAACAACAAGCATGTCAAAATGGTA